GAGGCCCCAGGTAGCTCCGGGCACCGCACGGGGAACTTGGGTGGTGGATCCAGCTCTGCGGTCGGAACAGGCCGCCCAGAAGGCATGCCTTGGATACTATGCTTTCTAGTCTAGACTATACTTTGAAACTAACTTGTATTTGAGTATATGGTATAGTATACATATATATATATATATATCTCTCTCTCTCAGCTTATGTTATACTATGTATTACTTCCACTTCTACTATCGCTGCGCATATATATATATATACACACACACACCTGTCTAAATACCATATTGTGTTGTATCAGATCGTGCTACGTTGCACTGTATTCTATAATATTGAAAGTCTGGAGTTAAGGGGCGATCCATGGGAGTTTTCGGCCTATCCGAAATCTGGGTGCTCTTGGTCAATCTCGGTGCTTCTGAACTTCAAGAAAGACCCCGTCACCGGAGCTCAGATGGGAAGACTGTCGACTGGTGAACGTATAACATCACATCATACTATATAACAGTATACTATATTATGGCTTACTACATTATATTGGATTATGTCATGATTATTATGTCAAAGTATATAGGATACTTTACGAAGCATATCTACCTATCGAGCCTCTCGCTGGTGACAGAGATTCGAAACTGGCCTTGCCCTCAACTTGATACTTCGTTCATAAGTCAGAAATGTGGACATATGCTATCAGCCAAGGCCTCGAGAATGGTCGGTGCAACGCTTGCCGCTTGCCACTGATTCTGTGCCCCCGGCGTGGTGGTGCAGGAAGTTGCATCGAACTCTGCAGCAAAAGCAACTGATCACGAGCATACCTGTCGCCGCGCATGAGCAGCCAGAACCAAACAGTAGTTGGCATGGATCCAGGCGAATTAAAGCCACCTCTTGAACATGGCAAACCACGGAAGCCGAAGCCTCTCAACTTTTTGCCCTGCCGACACCCCATTTAAGGACCATAGCACACCTAAAGCATGTTTTCATCCCCGTCTCTGTGGTGCAGAGACTGCTCGAACCAGTATTCTGCTATAGACTGATGCAGTGATGCATGGCCTGGGACATGACTCTTGTGCAGAGCAGAGAGCACTGCTGCGTCATATCTAGTGCTGTTCATACGTGCGAGTCTTTACGGTTCCTAACTGTAACTCCACTGTAACAGACCCCAAGGCCCAAACCCCGATTCTAATTATCAAGGCCCCTACAGTATAAGATGGCGGCCTTAAGAATCAGAGTAGGGTTAGGGGGTATGTTATTCCATAGTTATAATAAGGAAGCCACCAAACAAGATCGGTAACATCACGGCCCCTCTATAGTGTAGCAGGTGCCGGCCTGTAGCTCTCCGCAAGCTTCTCTGTGTCCTCCGTCGAGGTCTTTTGGCCTGAAGTGCTGGCGTTGGAGGGTGGGAGCCTTTTCAAAAGCATCTGCAGGCTTGCTACGAGCCAGTAGCGTTGGGCTTTCAGTACTGCTTTTTCAATGTCAACACTTGCTTGGTCACCAACTCAATTCACTGATATCAAGATGGTTGTCACTCTTGCAGAAATTATTGGTGTTCCTGCTGCCCACACGTCGTCTTCACGGATTCTGTCCCAGCACCTCCAATAACTTTGGTTTCTTTTCTCCGGCTAGCTAGGACCGAGACCACAAAGATAACATGAATGTAGCCATCGCGTGCTTACCAGCAAAAGGCACTCTCTCCACGATTTATAGACTGTGCATCTATGCACATGCAAGCAGTCAAGACGTCTTATTGAAGCTTAGGCTTTGCACTTTCCTTTCCAATCGCTCCTCACAGAACTGCTGGTGGGCATCCGCTATCTCCGGAATTCCCACGCCCAAATGCACGTAGCACATGACAACGGGATACAGTTTCTCATAACTTGTATGTCGATACACAGCAACATACTCTGTGTGTGTTGCACACCGCTTTGCGCAATGGAGCCATGAGATTTGGGAAGCTGGCGGTGACCACCTCGGCTATATCCTGGCACTTTCGGCTAGCAGTGGGAGTCTAGGCTATATAGGAGTTTCGGGGCCATGTGGGCTGCAGGCAGTTCGAGGCTGTGACGCCGAATGGAAAAGTAAGGGGATGAGATCGAGGAGCCGAAGTTATGATTCGAGTGCTTATTATGGCTATGACGAATCCAACGAGTCCATCTCTGCGTCGCAAGCTGGGCCAAGAATACCCGTTTCACGAATCCGCCATTGACCCGATGCTGGTTGTATTATTCTTTGAAAAGGCTGCAACCGTATCCGCTGGCCTTGCTGCAGCCATTCTGGGCCAAGTGCGGCGGCACCCAAATTGGTCAGTGGCATTCGACTGAAGCAAGCGCTCCCTTCTGCCAGGGAGTACTTTGCTGGCCGAGCCTCGCGCGGTATGTTTAGAGTCGCTTGAATCATGTCTTGGGCATGTAACGCCTATGAGGCCTTCTGGTTGTGTATAACGAACGGCAAATGCGATGTTCCTCCACCGCGAGCTCTGATTATGCACAGAGGTCTGTGCTTGTGTTAACTGTCTTTCTCTATCTTCTTACTTGTGTGGGTGCGTGACTGCACGTATGCCTAGGTGTCTGCCTGGTCCATCTATCGACCCATACCGTCGGTTCGAAAGAACTCATCTACAAAGGCAACCTTTGGAGCAGACCTCCATAAATCCATCAATCGATCAATCAATCCAATCAATCAATCAATCAGGCAAGCAAGCAATCTATCTGTGTGTCGATCGTCCTGCAGCAAATGTGTGTGTACACATGTATATCTGCATCTCTCTCTTTCTCTCGCAATTGCTTACGAGCGGACGAGAGGTTGAGACTGGGGGACCAAGATGGAAAGAGAGAGGGAGAGAGTGAGATTACCTGACGGCTACATGTTGACAAAGGTGGCATCAGTGCGACTTTGACCACATCCTGGCTTGCACTTCATACAAACAACATACGGTGACATGTGCCGGGAATTTGCCCGGTTGCCGACATCACTTTCTGTGTCTCTCTCTCTCTCTCTCCCTCTCTCTCTCTCGCTCTTTATTATTCTCTTATTCTCTTCTTCCACACAGCCAAGAGATGAGCAGCAGCACCTCCTGCACACGAATGCTTCCTATCTTATTCACTGTCTCTCTCTCTCTCTCTCTCTACAAACACACAGACACGCAGACAGATAGATAGGCAGATAGATATGTACACACATATATACCTACTTAAAGATACAAAGACACACATAAATGAATAAATCGAATACATATATATATATATAGATATATACACATGTATAAAATATACTGCAGGCCGGCATGCTGAATTGCGAGCTGTTTGGTGAAATGCCAACGAGTGTTGCTGAGACAGAAACAATCTCCACTACCTCTAGTACATGTCGGCACAGACATACACATGCAGGTAGATGTTGTAGAATCCAACGGAGTGGACCGTGGCGCAATCTGATGTGGTTCAGCGGGAGGACTATGAGTGGGCAACAACCATGTCGCACATCAGTGCTACGTTACATGATCCTTTGCAGTACTCGTAGCTGCATATGCGCACTTACATGTCCGGGCTGGCATGTGCTTCCCATGCCCCAATTCCGCCCTTTCAGGAAAGACATGGACCTTGAATTACATATAACATAACATGTGCTGTTAGTATATATCTTCCGAACAAATACATACACATACACACGCACATGCACAATCATGCCCACACTTGCACGCACGTAAACATGCACGTAAACACGCACGTACATGTACACGTCCACGTGCACATACAGTACACATACACAAACACACACACACACACACACACACACGAACACGTACATACATGCATACATAGATATGTAGATACGCACATACATACATAAATACATACATTCATACATACATACATACATACATACATACACATACACATACAGTGAGTACACTATGCCTTACAGTAGATTCCATTCCATTACAATCCATAACCCCAGATTACATTACATTCTGTTATATGACAGTAAATATACATGTATGAATGCAGCCAGTCCCACACATGTATATATATATATACATACATGTATATAGGGGTGTGTGTGCATATGCGCACATATAGCATTAAAGGCGAATACTGAGAATACTCATAATAACCATCATCATAGTATCCTTGACAGTTATACTTTATGACTCAAGCAACAGTCATCATCTTAATAGTTAAGAATTGTTGGCATTAGGTTACTACGGTTATCACCATTCTGCCAATGATCTGTATCATGATTACTGCTGTTACTGTGTATATATATATACATATATATATATATGCGCACGCGCATATACACACAGATGTATATACGTGTATGTGTATATATATATATATATGTGCATGTATGTATGTATGTACGTATGTGTATATATATATATATGTATGTATGTATGTACGTATGTAGACTTAGACAGATATATATATATATATATATATATATATGTCCAGTCAAACCCCACACCTGCTGAGACACCGGCCTGACCGGCCCAAATGAATCGCTCTGTGCGTGGCGAGCTATGTGAGGGGTGCTTCGTTTTTCGTGGATTGTGTCCTTCGGAGTAGCTTTTTGCGTAATTAAACGTTCCTTTGCGCTCTGCACCTCTGGCGACAGTTTTGTGCAGCTCGCTCGGGAAGTGGCGCATGGCCTTTCCTGCTCTTGGCTGTCGGGGTGGCTGACAAACTCGAGCCTGAAAAGCATGTCACGGGAGTCGCAGGTACTCCGAGCCCTTGTAGCAGGACATCATACCTGAGGACTGGCACTGGTGTTGACTGAATGGCACGCTCGTGCTGCAGGCTGTCTCCTTTGATCAGCAGTCGTTTCGCCGGCGCGGAGAGAAGTGCAGTTCAGCAGTCCCGGGCATATTGCACATCCAGGAAAAAGCTCCGCGAGGTGTCCAAAGCACGACTTCTTGTGCCCGACATGGCCCAATATAAACCCCTGGCAGCAACCGAATCGGAGTCTCAATCTGTAGCAGTCACATCTGCCGATGCGATCTCAAAACACAAGGCTCTTAGAGTTCTGAAGGGCGTACTAAGTTTGCTACGGCGATCGCCTGCCCGAACTCACTGTCTGCAGCCTTGCAAACCTGCCGAGGCAGCAGCACTCTGTGCACTTCAGCTCAATGGGATGTTTGAACCTTATATTGCTGCGAATGCCAGTACGTTAGTGCATGCGCATGCGTATACTTCAGCACAAATATCTGAACTGATATATGCATATCTACATTTCATATATATATATATATAAATATATAAAATATATATATATATATATACATGTGTAGAGATACCCAATGTGCGACATAACGTGCGCACACCATGCTGTACCGCATTCGAGGGTCTCTCGCTGTCCCAAGATCTACGAGTCAGATCACAGCCAGTCCCGGACCTCTGCTGTGGCGCCCTGTGCCCAGAGCTCTGCTTGGCAGGCATCGAGCATCACCCGCCCGGTGGGTCCATCGGTCACCTGTCAGGGCCAGGGATGGATCTGACTGGATCTGACTGAGGGTTGAGGAGTTGCGAGCAGTCTGCCAGGAAGGATCAGGCTCCCGAAGCACTCGCAACTTCGCACACTGCAGCCTAAAACGACCTGCAGCTGTACACTCCCTTCAAACGCATCCCAGGATTTTTGGAAGTGCCCACCTTGCCGCCGGCCTGACGGGTAGACAAACTATGCATGCTTAGAGTTTAGATGAAGGATCCGTTGGCGTTCGTTCTACAACGGGGTCTTTTGCACGGCCTCCCAACGGCTTCGGGACTCACTCCAATCGGGTGACTGACTCGTCCCAGCTGAGACTTACATGCGACTGATGACAACGACTGGCGAGGCTCTGTCACTGCCCGCAGTGTGTTTCATTTGTGCCAGGGGCACCTTGAACACACGCCAGTGTCACGGAAGAAGAAGCTTCATCACAAGTCAGAGCCTAGGGCCTAAAGATGAGACGCTGCCGGAAGGGTTGGAGAGATAACACGATTCTCATTGCAACCTTTGTGACTACTGTCACTGTAACACCAACTACTGGTACTAAACAACTACTTCTAATTGCTGCCACCTACTACGAATACACTTTATCTACCACGACCACCAACAGAACCACCACCCTACTCCTGCCCCTACTCCTTCTCCTACTCCTACTCCCACTCCTCTTCCTCCTACACCTCCCGCTCCTACTCCTATACTCCTTCTCCTACAACTACTCCTACTAGCAAAGAATGCAACCACACCGTCGTACTACTCGCACTGCTACAACTGTAGAACGCTTCCACCTGCCACTGGTAACACAGCAATTTCTGGTTCGAGCACTGCTGGTGATGAGACTCTGAAAGCTCGGCTCTGCCCAACCCATCTTTGTGCAGGTCTGAACCTCAACGTAGTCCACCGGGGCCGGCAGGTAATGGTTGAGCTCCAGCACGAAACGAGCCAGCCATTTCCCGAGGGACTCAAACACACCTGTCACTTGAGGGTTTGCAAAAAAACCTAGGGTTCAGCAGAGTCAACCACAAGGCTTTCGGACTTCAGTCTTATGGATTTACGAACAACCGCGGTACCCGTGCTGCTGCTAAGCATGGAGTCCTTCTTTTCTCTTGGATGCTACTTTTGGTTCACTGACTTCATATCGAGGGCTTGCAAACACTAGGGCCATAGTGACCCTGCATACACAGAAGCACCCTTCTTAACGGGATCCGTAAGCAACCCCCATGTGAGCAGATGCCTCGAGAGGACTCGTCAACGTCGTTCTTCTGCATTGACACCAATGCAGCTCTTTGCTCAGCTTTTCCGGTGATCACTTCCTCAGTGGGCTGCTGCGGGATGAGGATGCTTAAGGACGAAGCGAAGACTCACAGCAGCAGTGTGAATTAAATAGTGGTGGAGCCCAGCTAGTAGTCAGCACCGATCAACTCACGAAGCTGTCAATCAACGAGCTACACGCCCAGAGACCCGAATCCGCTGGAATCAGATCGACTGGATGGCCCCCCTAAACCCTAAACCCTACCGTAGGAGCCTTCTTAATAATTAGATTAGGGTTTTGGGGGCTTCTTATAATACTTATAGTATAATATAGCCCCAACCCCTATTCTAATTATTGAGGCCCCTATGTTAAATCGAAAGAAGTCGGAGGCCAATCTCGGACAAAGACTCCCCGCCCCGGGCTGCCTTAGCTTTGCAACAGCGGAGCGGGGTTCTCAAGGTGAAAGCACAGGGGAAGCATTTTCGGCTTGAGGCGGAGCAGTGTCTGTGCTGGTGGGGCTCGCAAACCCGGCAGGACGCAGAGCTCTCCTTCCCTCTATAAGCTCTCTATAAGCTGTACCCATCCATTCCTACATGGCATGCGTCCGCAACCCTGAAGCCGGAAAGTCTGCCTCTTGTGCAGCACGAAACCTTGCAAAGGCCCCGTCATAGGGACCTGTGGAACCACCTTCATCGCCCATCTGAGGTCAATGCTGGAGACCTCCACAAGCTGAAGAGACCCGGCCGAAAAGCCCCGCCAACCCTAAGAGCCCATGGTTCTTGGACTACATGATGTCGCGATGAATCTTAATAGCAATAAACTTCATGTGTATGATGATGGTAACGTATCAGTAACAGCAACACAAACACGAACAAGATCAATAAGAGGAACAACAACAGCAATAACAGAACGAGAAACAATAAAGTCCTACTGTTACTAATATGAAAACGCAATAATATGAACACTACTAATCATAAACATAATCATAACAATAATAACAACAAAAATAACAACATACATCTATATAGGCATATGTATATATATATATACAAGATGACGGTGATGGTCGTCATGACCATGGCCTTGATCCAGTACCACTGCATGTCATTCACACATGTCACCCAGACTTCTTCCCTTCTTCCCTCCTCCCCCAACCCTCCGCCGAAGGTTGAAAAAACCCACGAAACTCTTCTCCCCAAATTCTGAACCTAAACCCTCAACTTCCCCATGCCCTAAACTGTTTTGAGCCCTAAACTCCCCCATAAACTGAACTGCCCTTTAAACCCCAAGCTAGACACCGCAAAACCCCTCAACCCACTGACTAAGCCACGAAGACCCCAAGCCCTAAATTTTAACAAAAAACACACCCCTAAACCCGTACTAAACCCTAACCCCTCAAGCCCTAAACCCTATAAGCCCTAAGCCCTAAACCCTAAACCCCTCAACCCCTACCCCTCCGAAGCCGAGCTGCCAGAAGGTTAAAGAAGGAGCGCTGGGTCCCTGCTATGCCCTGCGCAGCGGCCTCCACCTGCAGGCCTGGCACAGGGGGTTCGGGGTCTAATTGTTTGGAGTTTGGGGTTTAAGGTTTAGGAGTTTAGGGTGTCGGGTTTAGGG